ATTGTACGTTGCCAGTTTGAGATCATGAGAATCCACTCTCTTTCGTACATCGATAATTTCGTTGCTGAAGCCAGCAAGGTAATTTCGGATTTTTTCACCGTAATTATCGAAAGCAATCTTGAAATCTAACTTTATTTGCGATATAACTTCATCCACATATTGTTTGTTTGCAACATCAGCGACATCTGTTGGCAGTTTTACGTTACACATCTTCAAATGACCAACATCAATATCACCGGTTGGAGTATGTGAAAATCCAGATCTGACTGTCACCATCTGAGCTGAGCGTGGAAACGAACCACGTCCGAATTTGTCGAGACTCATTATGCTAATGACTAAAGTATTGTACGTTATCGATAATGGTCGGCACTTTGCCTCGCCAATTATTAGCTCCTTCACTCATAGACATGCCATGGACGTGTCACGGAACTGTCAAGGAAGTGTCACGGAACTGTCACGGAAGTGTCAAGGAAGTGTCAAGGAAGTGTCACGGAACTGTCACGGAAGTGTCAAGGAAGTGTCACGGAACTGTCACGGAAGTTGTCATGGAAGTGTCACGGAAGTATCACAGAAATGTTACACATGTTTTATTATGCCTGCCTCTTCCAATTCGTTCAAGATGGCAACAATCTCGTTATCGTTTGATGTATTTCCGGCTTGCTGTGATGCAATGAGCAACTTCAATCTATCTACCAATTCGTTTGGATCATCCCAATACATGTACTCGATAGGTGCTGTGCTGTATGTCAACTTCAAACCACGACCACTGGAATTGGATCTGAACATTGGACGAATAATTTCTACGTATTTGAGTCTAGAGGAGGACTTCATACGTCCTGCAGAATTCAGATGAGCTTTGGTGAGCAAGAGTATTTGCTTGTATGGGTTCGTATCATCTTTGGCAAAGGATGGATCATTATAGAAGAGTAATTGATAGAGACCTGGGGTGCCACGGAACCGAAAGCCATCAAGAAGTATATCTCCAGTTCTTCGATGGAAATTCATTTCTTTTCCGTTGAGAGACCATTTCGATGTTACTGGATCATATTTGGGACCATAAACCGTATCGATATTTTCATCATTTGTCCAGTATTCAGTCAGATATTTTTGAGCCATCGCAGGATACTGATCAACGTAATCATGTATTGCAGCCGGTGAGATATTTTCACTATCTACAAAAAGTTCATCATCAGCATCGTCATAACCATCCTCATCATCATCTTCAGTATGCCCAGCATTATCAGCCACATCCATCATAGGTAGGAAATTAGTTTGGTTCAAATCCGATTGCTCCCTCTCAACCTCCCCATCCTCTTCCTCCTTCTTCTCCTTCTTCAACCCCAACGATTTTGCTCTGCTTCGCTTGATGTTTGAAAGCGTTCCATCGAGTTTTTCTTTTATTACCTTGGACGTGGTGGCAATTTGTTTCAAAGGTGATGTCAGTGGTTGGAATATTTTCTGTAACGCATCATCATCCTCAGACTTGCCCAATTTTAGTGCTAAATATTTTCTTCTGATTGATTTCGATAGTTCGTTGATTTTTTTCTTGCGCAACGCATCAGCAACATCATCATGCATCTTGGTTGACGTCATCTTGATGAATGGTCCAGAGATCACAGTCTTATGAACTTATCGAAACCATTTCTATATCTGCCAGCATTCATATCGAAAGTTTTTGCAATCACCATCGCACCATATTGGTTGGAATTCCAACACTCTGAGCACAATGCTTTGAATTGATCGAATGACATGTCTGGTGAGACATGCTCGTCGAACACATGCTTCAAATTCATTTCATCCTGTCGAAATAACACCAACAGGTTACTGTTGTCTCGCACCAGCTGCTTCGGTATCTTAGAAAAAGTCTGGCATAGGTATGCTACGTCAATATCCTTGTGTCTACACATTGAAAAATATTCTCGAATTTTTTGCTGCTTGTCGCATGATACATCATCAAAAATGAATATCGAATTATTTTTCGCTTCTGATGGACTAATGACATCATCATTTTCTTTAAAGGGAAAATACCCAACACCTTTCACTGAATCCAACACTTGTTGCAGCAATTGATATTTCGGTTGGTACAACGACTTTGAATACACGTAAACGTTCTCGAATTTCGCGCCATTTGGATTGAACAGCAGGGAAAGCATCGCATTGGTCTTTCCACATCCGCTTGGTCCGCAGAAGATTGCTCTGAACGAATGGGGAAGCAGTTTCCCATGTTTACTATTTACTGGTGGTTTGGTTGACAAAATTTCATCCAAATTCACAATGGGTAACATCCGTTCTTGTTGAATGATCTTCATCATGTGATGATATATTTTTCATTTCATTAGGTATATGCAGAGTTGTCAAACTTCCTACACGTCAGTCTTCATGTTGCTCTACCACGGAGAGGGTGTGCTTAATTCTCTGATCGATAAACTTCCCATCGAATTACACATTCCAGGCTACAGATTTTGTGGTCCAGGTACCAAACTCGATAAAAGACTTGCAAGAGGAGACACCGGTATCAATCCGTTGGACGACGCGTGTCGAGAACACGATATCGCCTATTCACAAAATTCCTCAATAGAAGACAGGCACAAAGCTGATTGGATATTGGAAAATAGAGCGTGGGAGAGAGTCAAGTCGAAGAACGCTAAATTCAAAGAGAAGGCTGCTGCTTGGCTTGTCACCACCGGAATGAAGGTCAAACGAAAACTTGGCATGGGTCTTGTATCACAGCAATCCCTATCCAACATTATCAAATTCATAAAAAATGTACTATCAAAGTCAGATGGTGGTGGTGGTGGTAGTACAACATCAGGAAGTGGTCTGAATAAATCTGCATTGAAAGCACTCCATGCAGCCAGAATGGCAGTCAAGAGGGCTGGCGGTAAAAAAAGAATCAGAGTACCAAGAATCATACCTCTTCCACACAGTGGCGGTATACTACCATTGATACCAATCTTTGCCGCCTTGGGAGCCCTAGGATCTCTAGCTGGAGGAGCCGGAGCAGTCGCAAAGACAGTCATTGATGCGAAAAATGCAAAGAAAAAGCTCGAAGAAGATCAAAGACATAATAAAGCAATGGAGGCTATCGGCAAGCAGGGTTCCGGCCTATTTCTACGCAAAACATCGAGAGGATTCGGACTGTACTTGAAGAAACAATCAAAAAACTCAAAAAACTTCTAGACAAGCTACCCAATAAATCAATGTACGATAAAGATGTGATAAAGTATGCCAAACAGCTGAAAATACCGTATTTTCGAGGTGTTTTTATGCGGGACACTCTACCTTCCACCGGTCCATGGCATCGCGAGTGTGCTGTATTGAATTTGGATACCTCCAATCATGCGGGCACTCATTGGGTGGCTTACATAAAAAATGATAAAAAAGCCTTATATTTCGATAGTTATGGCAATCTGAAACCGCCCAGAGAATTGGCGCAATATTTGGGTGCCAGCACGAAAATCTTGTACAATAACAATCAATACCAGAATTTCAATCAAAGTAATTGTGGACGTCTATGTTTAGAATTCCTTTTTAATGAGACCAAGTAACTCGGTCATTGTGCATCAGTCATGTCTCTGATTGTGACGTTGAAAGGTCGTACATCTACGCTCTCCATAGACTTTTTGACACCACTCCAACTCGATCCAGACTCTGATTACGGACTAGCATTGTTGGGATTCCATTCATACAACAGTATACCGAATATCGACAAAGGATCAAAGTTTTATCTGCAAGATAAGGCCAAGGCGGGAAAGATCATCGATATTCCCGAAGGTTCATACGACATTGTGGACATTGAGACATTCATACGCAAAGAATTGGGCATCTCAAGTGCAAAGGACGTTGATGATATATTCTCGTTGAAGCCCAACAATAATACACTAAAGTGTGAGATTTCGAGCAAACAGTTTGCCATTGATTTTCGTCCAAAGGATAGCATAGCTCAAGTCTTGGGATTTTCAAATAGATTGTTGAACGCACAACAAGTTCACACTTCCGATTTGCCGGTCAGCATAACCAAAGTGAGAACCATTCACATTGATAGCAACGTTACTGCTGGAGCTCTCTACAACGACAGACCATCACATACGATCTACGAGTTTGCAGTTGCAGTCGATCCTGGTTACGCCATAGACGAGACTCCCAGAAATCTAATCTATCTACCTATAGTCAGCAGGCGGGAATTGCCCAACATTACACTCCAGATTCTAGACCAAGATTTCAGGCAGGTGAATTTTAGAGGTGAAGAAATCATCATAAGATTGGAATTGAAGAAACTCGCAAGATGGTACTAGTGTTTGATTACTCCTATAAATCAGATAATATACCATCATCAGCAACATCATCGGCACCAGTTCTCTCGACACCGTGCACCAAAGCAGTCGTGTCTTCGAAGAGCAGCAGCAACAGAAAAACATTGACATTATCCAGTGTCCTGTTTCTGAAATCATTCAAAGACTACAATGTTGTTAGCACCCGTGTTCGACGTTTTCCGCAAACCCAGACTCGACGAAAGCATCACTAAAGTGGAATGGCGTACCTATTATCCATATGTGAAATCATTCGAGAACAATGATGTCATCGATATAACGGTTAATCAAGCAGATTCGTGGTTGGCCATGTTTGAAGGCATCATTACCATCAAGGGTAAATTGAAGGTGACCGGTGGTGGTACTGGTACATTAACCCACAATGCTGGAGCTTATCTCTTTGATTCCTGCACCTATGAATTGTGTAATAAAGAATTGGACACTGTCAGATATCCTGGAATAACGAGTACTGTGCGAGGATACTTGTGTTATACACCTGAAGACTCACGTCATCTAGCCATAGCAGGCTGGAACTATCCCAATGCTCCGATCCTCAACACCGATGGTACGTTTAGCATGAACATTCCACTGAAACATTTGTTTTCCATCTTCAATGATCATCAAGTGGCAACGTGGGGCAAGCAGTCAATCCGTTTAGTGAGAGCTCGCAATGATGCCAATAGTGTGAAGGTTGTCGAGAGAGCGAATACTGCTTTGCAAGGATCTCCTCAGACTCAGAGTATTGCTAAAATAACGATAGAAAGCATCAATTTGAAAGTGCCACATCTCACACCCAACGATGACATAAAGTTGCAGTTGTTGACACGTATCAAAGCAGATGAGTCTATGATGATACCGTTTCGCCGATGGGAATTGCACGAGCTACCAGCACTCACACAAGGATCTACCATAGAAATCTGGTCCGTCAAGACATGTTCTGCATTGGACAGTCCAAGATATGTTATAGTATTTTTCCAAACGAAAAAAGCCGATAATTTGCATGAAGACGTCACCTTGTTCGATAATGCCAACATCAAATCCATACGATTGGCTCTGAATAGCGACTATTATCCGCAAGAACGAATGCTATTGGACTTTTCCCGAGACCAATATGCCGACGCCCACTTCAACTATACAGAGTTCAACAAGAGCTACCATAACTGTCAAGAAAAGCGCTCTCTAGTAAACTTTGCCGAATTCAAATCCCGACCAATGTTTGTTATCGATTGCTCGAGGCGCCATCTGGGTCTAAAGTCGTCCACAGTTGACATAAAGTTGGACATTGAAGCGACTACAGGCTTCCCTCCCGACACCAAAGCCTATTGCATCATCATTCATGATCAAATCATGGAACATCTCCCACTCAGCGAAATTGTTCGAAATATTGCCTAGGTGGGTGTTGCTGCATCAGTCAGACGTCAGTTTGCTTCGAAGAGTCATGGAGATCGCACTGGTTGACATTCAAGGGTTCATGGTTGATGGTGAATTCATTCCAAAGGAAATGACCATTCGCATTGGTAAAAAGACGAGTCATTTTCTATTCAAGCCATCTGTAGAATTTTCGAGTTTAAGCAGAGAAGATAAAAAGATGGCAAATCATGTGGAGCGTTACGTTCATGGTTTAAAATATTCCAGTGGTTATGTGGATTTGAATGAGTTGGATCAAATACTACGAGATAACCTGCAGCAGACAAACATCATCTACGTAAGAGGTCATCAAAAGATTCAGTTTTTGCAGCGAAAATGTGCAGAGTTGGAGATGACCAATCACATTGTTAATTTGGAAGATTTTGACAATTCTTGGTGGCAACCAATAACGTTCCTACAATCCATTCCACCCTGCATGAATCATTTCCATGGAGGAAGGTTCCAGTGCAGTCTCCACAATGTCGATACTTTATATAATTGGTTATGTAATTTATTGCCAAAATAAAAAACTATATATCGTAATTTCAGAGTTTTTATTCATCACATCCCTTATTTCTCAGTATAATGAAAATAACATGCGAGATTAAAATGAGTGAACATATTAGTGTACAACAAAGTGTCAAAATTGCAATGATATTGACAGAATCTTGATCATCATCTAATTTTGCGGGTGATTTCTTCAATGTAAATGTCTGCCAGTCTCCCATTTCGCCGTCACTGCCATCAGAAAACGATAATTTCAATTTGTAGTCGATGGTGGTCCCATTGACTCGAGGCATGTCGATTGAATATACAGGTAGTTTGTTATCGTTGACATACATTCTACTCATCAGCTTCCAATCACACTGTTGTGTACGATTCACATCAAAACATACGGCCGCATTCCTCGTATTGTACGGTATGTTTGTGTAGAAGACGTTGTTGCTCAGAGCTGTCAATAGAATGAAGCTTGCTTTCAGTATCGCCATCTAGTAGCTGTGTTGGTTGGATTCTTCTCGATGTAGGTGCAACTGAACGTCTTGGTTCTGTGAACACCTTGTCCCAAACACTCAATTGCTCGAAATCTTTGAACAAACAAACTTTCTGCTCATACAATTGGATGTCTGCACTGAGCTTTCTAACTTTCAACCCAAATTCTTCTAGTGCACGTCTGTATTCGTCAGAAGACATGATACAACTGTTTTTTACATCCATACCTTCAACTAATATCAATCCAATCTCTCTCTCTCTTTCTCTCTCTCTCTCTCTCTCTCTCTCTCTCTCTCTCTCTCTCTCGCTCGCTCTCTCTCTCTCTCTTCTTCTCACTTTTTTACCCTCTCACTCTCTCTTACCCTCACTACCCATCCCAATGATACACAGAAAATTTCAATAATTATTTTATTAATGATAGATAGACAGCATATATTATATTTTCATTAATAGCCAGGGCAAGTATTACATTTTCATAAGAAAAAACATATTCTGAAAAAAAAAAAAGTCATTTTTCATTGTCTTCTTTCGCAAACTACATTTGTAAAGATGATATCATGCTACTAAAATCTGTAAAATATTGTTAAAGTAAGTCAAGAATCAATATCTGTATGTTCATCACCAGAATCGATGAATCTCTCATATCTCTGATAATGTGAATCATGTAAATCCATATCACATTCATATCGTTCTTTAAGCCCAAATAATAATTCTAAATCTAAAACAGAGGAGTGTAAGTGTAGGTGTATGGTTTTTTTTTTTTCTTTATAAATGTTTGATGAGTTGATTTACATGAAAAAATTACTCTTTTGCCTGTGTATGACCCCATGGCAATGTGTCGAACGAACCTGGAATCAAATACCGTTTATCATCTTTGGGACTCAGAGCAATTTTTGATTGTTGAATGCTAAACACATTGTGGGCATATGAACGGATAGTACGTTGAGACACTGTTTGTGCTCCGAAATTCTTCAAACAATTCAAATAATCTTCGAACCCAATTTTATTCTTGACAACATTAGTTTTCACCCCTTTCGATTTTTTGACAACCTTACCCCCTTGTACTTTATATGCATACATTTTCGAACGTAGTCCTACGAAATTAGTAACGATTTTCCCATTTGCTTCATCTTTTAATAAACCCAACTTTTTTTTATTGACTAGTGGCATATTATATTTATTATCTGGAGCATATTCAGATGTGTCAAATTGAGAGAGATCAGCCTTTATAACTTCTTCATATGCATCATCACATTTCAATTCATATATGAAGCTGTCTGTATCCATATATAACAATTTACACCTTTCAATACCCATTTTCGGAATCATATACTCATAGTGAAATTTGTACATGCACAATTTTGATAAATCTAAAATGGCCATTCCTACGTATAGAGGTTTATTAAAAATTATTTCGGTTTTCTGCATCTCTATGGCAATCAAGTTTTCTTCAAAAATTGTTCTACCACGGAATCGTGGACTAGCTATGAGATTTCTGGCTCCATAACGTCCCTGCCATGATCTTACTAGTTTCACTAATCTATGCTTTCGTATGTTTTCCATCGTCTTACCGAAAACTGCATTATTCATTAGTTTATAGAGATTTTTCTCAAATTCATTTGTTGCGGCAGTCCTCAAAGAAGTATTCAGATCTATATATGATTTGAGCCAAAAAGATTGCCTGAATTTCAAAATTTTGTGGATTTTCGTCAGTTTCAGTCCGTTTGCTAAACATTGTTTTAAATTTCTATAGTGTAAAATATAATCTTTTTTGTCGTAAAGTGTTGTCATTAATTTTGGTAATTTTGAGCCGGGTGGTATGCGATGTTCAGCAGCAAATGGAAAGTCTTTGTGATTGTTATGCAAGTCGCGAGGATATTCTAAGTCTACTTGTAAAATATATCCTTCAAGAGCATCATCAGCAATATTCATTACGTTGAAATTTTCAACGTTTTCCATCCATGAGAAATCTCCGAATGGTAAAGACTCTGACATTGCCCAACCGTACAAATTATTTACATCTAAATACATGAGATATTTTGAAGGTTTATTGGAATCATATTCAGACATATACTTGTTATTAGCTTCTGAATACCTACCACTACAAACAGAAATACCACCACGTAATGCCTTCTCGATGAACATGATTTTATCAACGTCATTCAATAATTCCAGTTTGCATTTGGTGTACTTTAACATGGCATCCCATGTATATCCAGGCATGGTATAGTACCATGCTGGATCTAACCCATAAGTTGTCCTACATTTCTGCCGGAATTTCTCGAAAACAGCGGTCAACAACATAACGTCTGTTTTTAAATATAAGTCAGAATATTCCCCTAAATTTTGAATTTTGAATGATGACCATACCTTTTGAGCATGGGCGTACTGCTCATCGCTAATGTGTTCATCATTCAATTTATTATAAAAATATTTCTTTGTAGGTAATTCAGTATCATTCAATTTTTCCAAACAACTAATGTAATCGTAGGGAAAGACACCCTTCTTGGTGAGGAGGTTGAATGTATCGTCATTCAAATGACTGAATTCTTTTTTCAAAATTTCAAAATCATTTCTATCCATGATTGAAGATAATTTATCTAAGGATGTACCCATGAAGCGAAAAGAGTCAATAAATCGGAATTTGATGCCTGTATTGTCATCATGTAAAGTGAAAGATATGTACTTTTCCATGTTTATTGGAAGTATGCTCATACGACCCTTTTTACTCAATTGACTGATCATGAAATGTGAATCATATCCTATCAGGTTGTGAAATGCAATTGGAACAACAAAGAGTTTCTTGAAATTTATGTTACAGGGTGCTTGATGCGCCCACCCCCTGAAATCGCCTGAAAAGTGATTATGATCGGCTACGATAATGTCTTTCTCCCTGAATGGTTTCTCACAAATATGACAGATTTTTGCTTTGCATTTGTCAGGACTAACAGTCATTGGCACGATTGTTTTGATTTTAGATTGCACGATTTCAGCTATCTTCGACATTTCATTTGCAAACCAATCCATACAATCTTCACCCCTATGGCTATTGAAAAACGACAAGGAATCATCGAAATCACATTTAAAATAATAGCCTGCACTATGAGCCACATGTTTCTGATATTTGCTTGTTTTTGATGAAACCATATCATCCACATGTTCTAATTGACATTCAAAGTCTGCATAAATTATAAAGGGGGTGGTTTGTTGGTAGGTGAAATTTTTGAATTCTATGTGATCATATTTTGGAAATGAAACTTTGCATTGGTTCAATTCAGAACACAGCATTTGATGATCAATCAATTTTTGTTCACATTGAAAATAATTCATGCATCTTTCACAAATAAATTTTTTACCATTATGTTTATTCACTTGGCTTGATATTAATCTAGACATATCTTGAATCAAACAGTAATGGTATTTGATGTCAGAATCTTCTTCATCAATCGGAGGAGCCTCATAATCATTTAATTTTGGATAATATTTGTTTTGAATTAGCAATAGATTAACGTGCCTTTCTAATTTATTTTTTGTAAGTCTGGCTGGCACCACAGTATAATATGATTTTTCCTTGACTAAATTCAACTCTAATGTGTATACATTCACGGAAATGTTATTGTCTTTTTCAAATTTTGGAATTTGACGTAGAGACATGGGTGCATCTAAATCTACTGTTTTCAGAACTGTAGTGTAATATGGATATGAAGAAGTCCGTTCCCTATGTGTTTTCGCTGGGTAGAAGGCACTTATGATTGACCAATAGAAACATGCCGAGTCAGTATTTTTTATATTCAAACATGCTCGCTTTTTAGAAATTTGTTCTGGCAGTCTAATAAAGGATGAACCATTTCCCATTTCAAGTTTGTTAATATTAACT